AAAAAAAAAATGCTATTGGTAAGAATAATTACAGGCACAAAAAATATAAGATTTGAAAATATTTAAGAAAACTATGAATATTTTTTATTTTATTTACAATATGTCTTGAATGCTGTAAGAACCTTCTTCAGAAACTCATGTTGATACAGTTAATAACATACATTTGCTCTTCTGTTACCCTGTATGCCCTTTGTTACCAAAGACAGCTCTGAATACCTTCCCTGAGTGATCTGAGGAAAATGCGGATTGGAATTCTTTTCTGACAGAAAATATTACATGCCATCAGCACCTTTTGAATACTTTCATTTATAGTGAAAGTTCAAAGTCTATTAGCTCAGAATTAAATAAGTGTAATCTATCTTATCTTTCATGGTACCTCCACCATCAGATAATCTCTTGTACTTTTTCTAGGTATAAAGAACCACTTCTTCCCAAATATTTTGTTGTTTATGTTTGTTTTTATCTGTTGTAGGCATTTGTGTTGCTACTATGAGTCTGGCACTATTGGTTCGAATTTCTTTTACATTTCTATTGATGTGTTTTGCTGGCTTTAGTTTTAAGGAGAAAATATTTATTGCTTTATCATGGATGCCCAAAGCTACAGTCCAGGTAAGAACATATTAAGTCATTTTAATAATTTTTAATGTTGATGATTTTTTAAAATTCCAAATGAATGTTACTTTAATTACAAAATGTAGGCTATTAGCCTCACTTTTAAAATACTTGATCATAACTACTCATTGAAAACAATGTAATCTTTTAAAATCTCAGTTTTAAAAGCAATTCTTCTGAAGTTAAAAAGTGTACTTTTAATGACAAATACTTCCTAAACTTCTGAAACTTTTTTTTCTGTTGTCCCAAAATATAAAATAAGAATATATCTGGACACTGGAATGTTTACATTTTGCTGAATATTATAGGGATAAATGTAATGATTTTATAGTAGAGACACATTAATTCTTTTAAAAATATATCTTTCCTACCCTTGCCACCCACTCCAACATACATGAATGCATGTGTATTATTTTTAATTATGCATTTAATTTATATGATTTTAATTAATGACTAAATCTCCTCACCAGACTATCTGGGAAAGACAGGAACAGTGTCTGCTTTCTTTCATTATTTTTCCCCTAGTACTTAATACAGTGCCTGGCACGCAGGAAGTACACAGTTAGTAAGCATTGCATTTCTACAAGAATGAATGATGAATGAATGAATGAATGAATGAATGGGGAGACCTTGTGGTTTTGCCCTCTGATTCAACGATATTCTGCTCCTACAAAGAGGTATTACTACTTATTGTTAGACTTTTTAACCTGGCAGCATAATGTCTTGATTTCCAGAGATTCTTTTTTCCATTGTTATTCCAAAACAGAAGTTTGTGAGTTCTTGTGCAACAAAATTCTCTCATGTGTCAGGATTAAAAAAGCAGGTCCATGGGACCAGCCTGGGTGTTTTGCCTATAACATTAGGCAAGTTACTTCGTAATCTCTCATGTCCACTTTGTAGATTCCAAACCTCTTGTCAGTTTTACTGGACACACTGCCTCCCAAGTAGGAAGAATAAGGAGAAGATAAGCAACAAAATCCTAGAGAACCATTAGAAACCTTAGTATTTTGTCTTTTCTTATTACAGCCAAGAACCTTATAGTCTATGGTAAAGGTAAATAAGCAAAACCCTGCTTCAGCTAGAACTCCTGAAGTTCTGAGAGTAATGCGAGCACTCAAAAAAGATATTTAAACAGGAGAAAGCTGAGATGATAAAAATACGAAATCGGCCCCAAAATGCGTGCACAATGATTTGTCACTATTTCACTTTTCATCCAGATATATTTGCTAGGGAGAACATAGAATTGATGAGTAATTCATGAAAATTCCTCAGCACTTTAAGTCTTGTCTCTTTTCTGATGGCTTACTACTAGGTTTTGTTTGTTTTAACAGGGCCATTAACTTTATCATGTATTAACTATTTAATATTTTTCTTTATGTCTCATCTTTTTACCCCCTACATGCAGGCTGTATTAGGTCCTCTGGCTCTAGAAACAGCAAGAAGCAGCGCACCCCACTTGGAACCATATTCAAAAGATGTGATGACAGTAGCATTTTTAGCCATCTTGATTACAGCTCCAAATGGAGCTCTAATTATTGGCATACTGGGACCCAAAGTACTTACACGCCATGATCCAAACAAAGTCGATGTAGAATTGACAAAATTAGAACTTCATTAAAAAGTTTATTTGCCATCACCTGCCTGCTTCTTTTAATAAATTATCTTACATGAGAGAAAAATTAAAACACACAAATACATGGAGATTGTACATAGAACCAAGGATTTAATAAATATGTGATTTCATTACAGAGCTTTCCTATGATTTTTTATTCCAAAGTTAATTTAATAAAATAGTATTTATGTATTTTAAGAACAAAGTAAATCTGTAAGTACTCTAGGAAAGTTTAAATAATCCATCAGGCTGAATCTGCTGTCATATTACAAACTCGGTGTAATAAAAAATTAAATGAACCCAATGACAGAAAGGTAAGATAGTCTAAGCCTCCAGACAGGAGAAGTAGAACCCACCATCAGTTTAGTAATTCAGTTAAAAAGATCACCAGAAAGGAAAAAAATGCCAGGAATAAGTGGGTCAACAAAATGGATTTCAAATTCTGTTTTTAGTGACTATCTGAATGAATGGTATGTTAAATAAAAGAACCAAAATTAGACTTATTTACTTCTGCAGTACCCTTAAAATGACAAGTTTAATAGCTTTTAAATGAAACATTATGTATAGTATTTATTTGTAGATATAAAATTAAATCACAAATGGAAATAAACCATGATTTTTCAATGAGTATAAAATAAAGAATTAAAGTCAGCCTGCAGAAATGAAAGATGAATAGACTTGTCCATGTGAGCTTTTCTTTTCCTTAGTAATACAGAATCTCCTTTCAATTCTGACTGATGAAATCTGCTATGCTTATATAGAACCAATCACAAGCAAAATGCAGTTTCCGTTTATGTCAAGATTATTTTAGGAGCTCCTGGGTGGCTCAGTCCTTAAGCGTCTGCCTTCGGCTCAGGTCATGATCCCAGGGGCCTGGGATCGAGTCGCACATCAGGTTCCCTGCTCGGCGTGAAGCCTTCTTCTCCCTCTCCCACTCCCCCTGCTTGTGTTCCCTCTCGCTGTGTCTCTCTCTGTCAAATAAATAAATAAAATCTTTTTTAAAAAAAAGATTATTTTTAAAGTTGGAAGGGTCATGTAAAAGCTTCTCAAATAGCCTTAGTGGATGGCTTCTTAGAAATCATTCAGACTTCTTTGGCAAAAGCCAAATGCAGGAACTAAACATTACTTGGTTTCTCTCTTCCCTCTTCTATGTAAGTAAAATACTAAAATAGCACAGAATGTGAACTTTACACATAAATTTGCAAAGTGAAACAACTATAAGGCAACCAAAACTATATATATACATATATATATGTATATTCCTGTTAAGACTGGGACCTTCCACAAAATAGAACAGTAAAACTGTCAAAAGTTCATACACACCTGGATAACTCTGGAGGAGATAAAATAGCTGCTGTTCTGGTAGCATTTTCTTCTACATTTTTACAACTCAGCATAGATCTTATGCCTCATTTTCAACTATTTTAATTCTAGTACTAAAATTCTAAAAATTTAAAGTTCTAAAACACTCCAGTGTTTTGACTAATGTTTAAATCATGAAGGTAAATCATTTTTACTAAGTAAATGAAAATATATTTACATTCACAAGATAGTATTTTACATTTACAAGAGAATTAGATTTTAAAATAGAAAGTTGATCTTAATAAAAGATAAAGGTACAACAAATCATTTTCAGAATGAGGAACTATGTTTTTTTAATTAAGGGGGAAATTGTCATTTTTTTGTGATTTATGGATTGTTTCTTAAGTATTAAATTTAATATTTATATGTTCATAAGACCAAAACACTCTACTTTTTAAAAGTAGTGTTGCAGGCATTCGAGTAATTTGAATTTTAAATTTTCGATATAAAAACTTTTATAAAAATTACCTTCATTAGGAGCACGTGCACCCCAATGTTCATAGCAGCAATGTCCACAATAGTCAAACTGTGGAAGGAGCCGAGATGCCCTTCAACAGATGAATGGATAAAGAAGATGTGGTCCATATATACAATGGAATATTACTCAGCCATCAGAAAGGATGAATACCCACCATTTGCATCGACATGGATGGAACTGGAGGGGATTATGCTAAGTGAAGTAAGTCAAGTAGAGAAAGACAATTATCATATGTGGAACATAATAGTGCAGAGGACCACAGGGGAAGGGAGGGAAAACTGCATGGGAAGAAATCAGAGAGGGAGACAAACCATGAGAGACTCTGGAAACTGGGGGTTACAGAGGGGAAGAAGGTCAGGGGATGGGGTAACCAGGTGATGGGTATTAAAGAGGGCACTTGCTGTGATAAGCACTGGGTGTTCTATGCAACTAATGAATCGTTGAACACTACATCAAGAACTAATGATGTTCTATATGCTGGCTAATTGAACATAATAAAAAAAATTACCTTCATTAATGTCATTTTAAAATTACAACCAGTTAACCATGTGTACAATATTCAAGTGTTCATAGTATTTAAACAAGTAAATACAAGAACACTGTTCCTTATAAATTTATCAAGTATGTCTTTGTTTACTCATTAATATTTTGTCACTAAGGAATTTTTATTAAAGCAAGAATTTTATAATTCAAATTACGTTTCCTTGCTCAGTATTCAATTCTGTTATTTAAAACAAATGACATTCTGAGCTATTCCACAGTAAAGAATTATAAAATTAAAAAAATGCTTTAAATTTTTGTACTTTGCTGAAAACTGTTTTTCCCAGGATTTATAAAACAATAGTTTTTATAGGCTTGTCTCTTTTCTGATGGCCTTGTGTGTGTGTGTGTGTGTGTTTAAATTAGGAAGTAGTCTAGGCCTAGCATTTGCTCAGTACACAAGGTTCAAAGTTTCTTTTCCTCTTTTGCATCTATTTTATATTTAGCAATTTTCCCCCATAATATGTAAGCTTTTTGGCGTTTAGATATTTTTCTTTGGTGAAGCATGTGTTTCTATTCATGGTCCCTGATCAATTTTAAGCAGTTGGAACTCCAAGGACATTGTTAATCACTTCCTGGGAAGCCTTTTTAGTTTGGTGGGCTCGTAGTACACCAATGCTTCAGCAACCTTAGATCAGAGAGACTGGAGATTCAAGCCTATGGAGAGGTTCTGGATTCTCCAACAACACATTGGCAATTTTTACCAGCAACAGTAGGGTGCATGGCTTGACTAAAAGGAAGCATTCCCCCAAATTTGTTTTATATTTGAGGAGGAGCAGATGCCAACATGGAAGTAGTTACAGGCTCCTGACCTTGTACATTCACAGCAGGCTGCTGCATGGTAACCTGTGGCTTCACATTAAGACGTTGTTGAGGATTGCAAACTCCTACAGCATATTTATACTGTGGAAGAACACTGACGGCAGGAATAGCTACCACAGCAGCTGCTGCAGTGGTGGACCCACTGTGTTGTGTTAGCAACACACTGTTGACATGACTCGTGAAACCTATAAAGAAACTGGACTCACTATTCAATGGTAGTCTAGGAGCAGCTGGGCAGATAGTACCAGGCATAGTTGGAATGGGACCCTGAACAGCCCAGCAAGGACTTGGTCTTAGTTGCGCCATTTGGTGAGGAGGATAGTATGCAGCGTGGTTCTGAGTCTACAGGATAGCTGCCGGGAAGTAACCTGAAGGACGTGTATCCAGGTACTGTAGTCGTTCCCAGCTGGTGATTACGTTGAATACTAGCTGTTATATCATCACCAGAGCCAGAAGTCCCCTGTATTCCGTCAACTTATGATTTTTTTAAATATGCAGTGTGTTTCAGCCCAGCACAATTGATTTTTTGATTCTCAAATTGTCCCGAATATGGTCCTTGGGTATCCTTCACAATTGATTCTGTACTCTTTAGACATGATGCCATAGTGTTTGAATGCTTTCTTCCTTTCAGTCATAACAAGCTGTCCCAGATTCAAATGCATTTTTCCTACTCCAGACCTGGAATCAGCTAGTCTCCAAAAGACTGGTATCTTTCCATGAAAATGGGTATGTTAAAACCAAAATCTGAAGGTTAGGAATGCTCACTATGGCTGGAGAATCATTGCATCTAGATCTTGTCAGTAAACATTGCTAAAAAATACAAGTTTTAGAAACCATAAAATACATGTTATAAAATAAAAAGTGTTGTTTTTACTATTACTATTACTGGTGATTTTAGAATATAATTCATAGCACAGATTATATGTAGTCAAAATCCCTTCAGTGCTGATTAATGAGGAGAAAAAGTAAATGTTATATAAAACCATGCAATTATAGGACATAAATTCTATAAGATAACTAAATATTTTTTTAAAAGTTTCCTAAGTTATCATAGTTTTTAATCACTTAAAAATAAAACTATGGGGCACCTGGGTGGCTCAGTTGTTAAGTGTCTGCCTTCGGCTCAGGTCATGATCTCAGGGTCCTGGGATTAAGCCCCACATCGGGCTCTCTGCTCAGCAGAGAGCCTGCTTCTCTCTCTCCCACTCCCCCTGCTTGTGTTCCCTCTCTCGCTGTGTCTCTCTCTGTTAAATAAATAAAATCTTTAAAAAAATAAAATAAAATAAAAATAAAAATAAAACTGAAAAACATGACATCGAGTTGCTATTTCTAATTCAAATGTAACATCATAGGGCTTTTACCTTTATCTTTTTTCTCTTACACTGAATATCTTGGTTCCTGATATTATTAATGTGGTATTAGCTTTATTTTATAATATTCAAAAATTTCAAAATAGCAATACCAATATTATTACTTATAATTACTGAATTAAATTTAAGATATTTTGCAGTTCTTTTTGTCCTTAGACTTATCTCACCAAAGATGTCCACTAAAAGTACTAAATTCTAAAGCCCCTTGAAATTATATATATAATTACATATATAGTTATACTATATAATATATATACTTTGATGTACAGATTTATTTATTTCTATTTGCTTTCAGTTCTAAGAATTGCTTTTAAACAAGATATATGCATAATTTTGGATATGTAAAACATTTATATAGTTTAAAAGTTTTATATATTTTCAAACTTTGGGATTTTTCTAATCTGATAAATGAGAGATAGCTTTGTAGTGATATTTTAAATTTCTTTGACTAT